CCCCCCCACCAGGCCCGGGCCCGGGCTGCCAGTCTGCTCTGCCCCAGGAGCCGGCCCCCCTCCTGGCATGTGCGTGCCCAGAGGCACAGAGCAGAACTCCCTAATTTGTTGTAAACCACTGTTTGTTTTCTGCCGAGCCAAAACATCTTGTTCACGAGGTGTCATTTTGATTAATTTTTCCGATGGAGAAGCGTGTGGCCCATTCCAAAGGAAGGTCTTTGGCCAAAAGGAAAGCCAGCGGGCCAAGTCCTGATACCCACGCCAAGCCAGGCGGCTGGTGACGGCCGGGTGAGGGCCCGCCCTGCTCACCTGCCGCCTGCCACAGCCTATGTGCTCAGGCCTGCAGGGAGGAGAGATGGGCAGAAGAGGCCACAGGGCGCCTTGGGGGCAGTGGGGCAGGGGCAGAGGGTGTGAGTTTTATCCTGTTGTTCCTGCACCAGCAACACCATGCCCAGATGGGCAGCCCGCTCTCGTCAGTGGGGAGGCCATAGGGAGAGGCGGGGACTGTGGTCTGTCGCAGAACTCACATCTCCGCCAACGGGAGATTGCCCAGCTGCCACCTTGTAGAAATGGGCACCAGGGTTGGCGGGCTTTCCTCTCTGAGAAGGGTGGAAGTGGACATCTGGAGTTTTACACGAACCTTCTGTTATCTAAAAGCCAGTAATTAATTTTTCCTAATTTTGCGGGGAGCATTCTGTCGCACCTGTGGGTCCCACCCAGCCTGTTCCCTGGCTTTGGACTTAGGAACCCGGCCCCCTCGGGAGGTCCTGCGAAGGGGGATGAGGGGCTACCTTCTCCATGTCTCTGTGCCAACCCCAGTGGCAGCCCCTTTGCTTGTGGCAGCACCATGGCACGAATCATCAGCAACTGTACTGAGCACCAGAGCAGCCCTACGGCCCTAGTGGCTATGAGTTGGGCTGCTAACTGTGAGGTCACCAGTTCAAAACCATCAGTGGCTTCGAAGGGGAGAAATTAGGCTGTCTGCTCCCATCAAGGGTTACAGTCTTGGAAACCCACAAGAGCAGTCCTCGCTTGTCCTGTGGCATCTCTATGATCGGAATCTACTCGCGGGCAGTGAGTTTGGCTCTGGGGAGTCCCGGTTCAGTGGTGGAATTCTCACCCTGGCGGGGGGCAGCCCAGCAATTCCAAGCCAGCACATCCTGTGCCCAGCCAGAGCACACCTTTCAGGGGAGAGTTTTCACGTCACTCTGCGGTGCAGAGCAGGCTTCCGCAGAGCCCCAGACCCAGAGAGACTAGGGGGAAAGGTCTGGCGGTCTCCGGTGAAAGCCCCTTGGGTCACAGTGATCCAGCTGATCAGTGTCTGATCCCAGGGACGGAGCCTCATTTGGTTTAGTTGTGCCTGGGGTTGTCCACTCCAGGGCACTGCAGCACTGCACAGTGACCTGGGGGGACCTAAGGCTCAGAGAGGGCAGTCCACTTGCCCAGGGTCACACAGCAGAATCAGCTGAGTCTGGATTAAGTCCAGCTCTGTGCCCTGTGCCGCCTATCCACCACCACCCCTCTACCTGGGCCATCCCCGAAGACAGGAACCAAGGCCCCTGTGCTGAGGTTGTAAGTCGGGGACCCACACCCCAAGTCACTCCGCCCACCAGGGTTCTTCACCAGCTTGGTGGGCAGAGACGTTCTTCTGGGTGCAGTGTCAGAGGGGCAGGTCAGAAGCTACCCAGGAAGGCCTGCTGGTCCTGAAGGACCCTGATCCTGGACCTGAGTCCTGCCTAGCCACCACCCAGGAGCTGCCTGTGGGATTTGTGACGAGCTTCTTGCCCCAGCTGAGCACGTAGTAGGTGTTCAGTAAATATCAATTAGAGCCTCATCCTGAGAGAGCAGAGTGTGGGGTCGGGAATCCTGGGGGCCCTCTCTCCCTACGCCAGGGCGGCTTCTGGGGCTGTAATGGAGGGCCCAGCAGGCAGGCGGTGGGAGGGACTGCCCTGCCTGCCTTCGCCTG